AGATTGGCAATGTACCCTCAAACAGTTGTTGGGGCACAGAGTTCCCCTGACTACTTTTCTGTAGTTGTGTGTGTGTATGTATGTGTGTATCCTCAAATTATTCACACACACATTGTGTGTATGTGTGTTTATGTATATATGTGTATACACACATAAATGACATATAAACATATTCCTAGTGTCTCTCAGGATCTCAGGATCTTGCAAAGAGCCCATGCATGTAGGGGGACCTGAAGCTTCAGTTTTATTACTATCGCTACCTCCAATGGCAGCAAATCTTATTCTACCCACTTCTATCTAAAAGCCCAAAGTACCAAAACAATTTGTTTTCTGTAATTTAGTCCTTGCCTTGGCTGAGCTTGATCTTCAAGATCTTTGTGATCTCTCTTCTTCTTTTGAGATCCAATGTGACAGAATAATCTTACCATTTTCAAGGTCAAGAATCAGCAACCTGCACCCTAAGACCTTTATTGCCTCAGGTCTTTTGGGTTGTGTCTTTGCAGGATCCATGTAGCTCTGTGCATATTTGCTAAGCCTGGCTTTGTACAAATAGCTAAAGCTTGCTTCAGGCTTAATGCAGAGTACTTGGTATTCACTAACCATATGCCCTTCTCCACACCTCATTAACAACTATGTATTATTTGCTTAATGGCCAGAACATAGAGTTCCACCTGGATATAAGAAAATCAGAAGAAAAAAAGATGTTTCATCTCTTAAAATCTCCAACCTTTGCTTACTTTTCTTCACATGCTTAGCTTAGCTTCCTCTCCTTTCTACAGATCTGTGTGCCTGCCCATAGAGGGCGCAGTCTGGTTTGTTGTCTCAAGAGGATGGCTCTAAGTAAGAAGTTTGCATATGTAAGTTTAATTCAGGAGACTGTTAGCAAGCCCATTTAGCTACACATTTAACTCACTCTAATTGAAATGTTTATGATTGAATCTGTCTTACATTTTTTAAATCTCATCTATCTCTAAATTGGTTCCAAATTCATGTAAGGAAAAAAGTTTTCAGCTGGATCCTAAAGGTAAAAGGAGACCTTTCATGAAGTGTCACACAGAGTCTACTCTTCCTCCAGCAATGACAATGCAAAACCATGTGTGTCATGCTTCTGCCAAGGGAAGCCCAACAGACACTCAGCACTCAAGGTTTTTATTGGAACCCATTAATTTGCACTTCTTTGTCCTCTCCATCTCCATAGGTAACAACACTAATCTTTTTCAGGTTCGAATAGAGAACTAGATGTCATCCTTGATATTTCCCTTTTCCTCATTCCCTCTGTGCAGAAAAGTTCACATTGCTGATCTGAGACTGCTATCCCTAAAAAAGATCAGCTTGCAAGGTTTGTCCCTTGACTGGCATCTTGAAACTTGACTGGTAAACACTTCCCCACACTGAAAATCAACATTTTAATTTTGAGCACAATGAAATTAGATATAATTATGAGATATCAGTTTAAGTTGTACCAAATTATAATAATAATCTAAAACTTACAGTGATTGACAGCAGCTTATTTTTCATTTAAGTTACATGTTTTTCACAGCTTAGTGGAAGTTGTGAAGCTGTGTATGTGGGGTGGGGGAGCCTGTGGTCTTTTTCCACACTAAGGGACCCAGGCTGGTGAGGGCCTCATCATCTGGAATGTGTTCATTCTTGTGACAGTTAAAGAGGCAACTAGGGAGGTCTCAGATCAGCAATTCTGATAAGAAGCTATGTCAGTTTGGAGTACACACTGCATTTCCACCAGTGGCCCATTGATCAGAACTCGGCTTCAACCAGATGAAGTAGATGAGCTGTTTAGTGATCACCACTGTTTCTGCCACAATGTCCAGGCAGAAATGTCATGTAGGCATCTACAATAAATGGAGGTTGAGGAAACAATGGTTTAAGAATCACAGCAGATAGGTGGCATTTAAAGCCACCCTCATTTCCTTCTGATCTGAGTCACAGTGACCTCTGGAAAGCAATGCTACTAGTTTTTTCTGATTTAAAGAAGTAGGAAATCTAGATTGGTGAACACACTTCATGCCTCCCTGTAGTGAAACTGGTAGTTCACAAAACTAGTGAAGGCAATGTTTTAGCTACTGTACATGGAATGGTGTAATCCTAAAGAAAAAAACTGCCAAGAAACAACTGAATGCTCAGAACAGAGAGGCTGGGCTCCCTAAGGTGATAAAGGACACTTGAAACTGTCCCTATTTATATATGAAGACCCTGAGAGCCAAAATCACAGATGAAAAGCTGGCATTCTCTCTTACGATAGCTACCACTAGGTGTCACCAGTAGGCCAAAGTTAGAAATAGGAAGGGAAGAAGATGCAAATCATTTCCAAGAAAGAAGTAGAAAGTGTCCCCAAGATGGCCACAGATAGTACTTAGTGGTAGCAGTGCCTGCACTGGCTACACCTGTTCTATTCTTCCTCACACACCAAAGTAAAATAGGAGGACTCATGAATTTTATATTAAACTGTAATGACTTTCAAATGGACTTTAGTAATTCTTACCTAATGTGTGTGATTGTGCATGCATTGTTTTCTGGGGTTTTGTGTGTGTGTACAACTGGGAAGTAGAAAGAAGTAGTTTCTTCTGCCTTCCATTATAGCTTTTCAAGTATTTCATTTTCACATGACTAACCACATTAATACTTTTAAAGATATAAAACAGTTTCCCTTTCCGTGTGTGTGTGTGTGTGTGTGTGTGTGTGTGTGTGTGTGTGTGTGTCTACTGAAATGTTGAGTTTACTCAAAATCAGATTTAAGGCCTGTGGATCTAAAATGTGTTCTTTTTAAAGATCAGATTATGCCAAAGCAAAAGAGAAGCCTTAATCCTTTGGTGACACAAGCTGAGAACTGCTAGCATACTCCATGTACCAACAAAATAATTTGGGACCGCTAGCAGATAATAGAAATTATAATAAATATAAATATTTCATTATCTCTTCAGTATATCTCTTTGATATATTTCTTATATCAAAACTAGATGACCTTATTTGGTAAGTGAACCAAATAGTCAAAAGGGAAATTATGCCATAAAATATTACTGATCATCCTAACACTATTCTCTACAGAATAGAATCAGAAGAAACTAGCACTGGAGACAAATCCATTATTCTGAGCATCTCAGCTTTTTGTATGTTGAGGTCCATTTTTAAAGTGTCATTTATAAACCAGACATGGTGGCACAGACCTGTAGTCCCAACTACTCAGAGGATGACGTGAGAAAATCACTTGAGTTCCCATGTGGTTGAAGGCCAGCCTGGGCAAAAAGTTCATGAGACCCCATTTCAACCAATGACTGGCTGGGCATGGTGGTTCATACCTGTCACCCCCAGCTATGCTGGGAAGCACAAACAGGTTGGCCCAGGAATAAATTGAGACCCCTATCTCAAAAATAACCAACACACAAAATAGGACTGGTGGAGTGGTTCAAATGGTAAAACCCCTGCCTAGCAAGCGCAAGGCTTGAGTTCAACCCACAGTACCACCACCAAAAAAGGGGGGGGGCATTTATATGGCACACTGGGAAAAGTGGACAAGACTCCTGCATTTCAGCTGTATCTGATAAATTGGGATATGCAAAGCCTGAAATCACTATGTCAGCATATTAAATGCAGGTTGCATGTTCAGCCTGGGGTTCACACTGGAATCATTTGGAAGTTAAAAAGACATTGAATCCAGGCTCCCAAAGTTTTTTTTTCATTGGTCTGGGGTGTAGACATGACTTTTTAAAACTTCTAAGTGTCTAAGGCCTAGCCAAGATTAAGAACCACTGTATTAGAACAAAATCGATTTTTTTTTTTTTTTTTGAGACAGAGTCTCACTATGTTGCCTCAGCTGGACTCCGGCTCCTGGGTTGAAGTGATCCTCCCACCTCAGCCTCCAGAGTAGCTGGGACTACAGGAATACATCACCATGCCAATTTCCAGAAAACTGAAAAAAAACCGCAGACTCATCTAGTTTCCTTTTTTGTTGTGTTTTCTTTTTAAAATTCAGTTAAGTCTAAAGAGAAATGCCCACAATGTTTAAAATATGAAAGTGAAAAAAACTAAACTCCATCTTCTCCCAAAATGACCACTGTTAAGTTTCTTTGAATTTTAAGAAATGTTTGTTGTTGCCATTTATTGGCAGGACCTTCTTATTTATATCTGAAGGACACGAAGCCATCTTGGGAACCTTAAGCATTGTTGTTTTTCTGAACATCTGGTCCTGAGACCTTTGCCTCAGTTCCTTGGAGCTTTCTCACAAGGCAAGATGCCAAATCACACAGGCACGGTCCCACTGCTGGCTCCGACAGTTTGTGTACATATGCGCGTATATGCACCTCTGGAAATAAATTATCTACGGTAAAGAGAGATACACACATAGTAACCTATGCTGTGTCTTTTAATATTCATTATATCATGAAGTTGGTCCTTTAAGTATTCAATATAGGCAACACGGTCATTCGCATCTATGTATTTTATTCAGACATTCCCCTGGGTTGACGATCACTCTAGCTACTCTGTTTCTTTCTTTTCAATAAATGGTCTTATACATGCATTACATGCATCGTGGCGAACTTTTGCAAATATTTTTAAAGGGTAAATTCCTAGGTATGAGATTACTGAGTGCATTTAAAGTTTAGATGAATATAGTGAGATCAATAATAACTTAAAAAAATAAACGAATGCCACTCACATTTGTCAGACATACGATTGAGACTGCCAGTTTGAGGTGCTGGCAGAGCGCGGCTGGCCAGCCGTCACCATCACCTCTGGCGGGTCGCGACGGTGCCACTGAGGCCGTCCACAGGGGCGGGGACTCCGGGATGCGGGCACTCTCAGGGCACGTGACTGACTTGCCCCGCCCAGCGGAGTCGCATCTCGCCGAGGCCGAGCGCGCGGGCTCCCGGAGGCGGAGCGATGACGTGAGCGCGATATATTCTGTTCTGCAGTGTGGTTGGATGGCCGAGCGAGGGGCGGGGCTCACGGACCAGCTGCTTCCGGTCGGGCTGGCGGCCTAGGTTACGGCTTCCGGCGGTTGCAGCGTGGGCTCTGCTCCGTTGGGCTCCGGGCCATTTTGTGCCCCTTGCGCCTGGGTTTGCGTTTGTTAACCGTTAACTCCTGGGCAGGAGCGCCGGGCTTGTTACTTTGAGAGTTGGTCCGCACCCTTAGGCAGCGGCCGGACGTTTGTAACTTGATCTCGGGCAGTTCCATCCTCTCACATATAAAGGCTGCTCCAGGATTTCTGCAGCCCCTGCTGTCCCAGGTGGTGGTCTCCGGGGATCTGCTTTTGGGACTGCGTCTGTGGCCAAGCTCAGACTGTCAGGCTGGACAGACCCTAGGGGTGACAGCCAGCTTGACGGTCTCCTAGGTTAGGCTGTGCTCTGAACACTCGAGGTGTGGGAAAGCCATTTCCCTCCCACACGGGCCCTTCTTATGCAGCACAGCGAAATTAAGCAACTTGCCCTAAATCATGCCGAGCTGAAATTCGAACCCGGGTGCAGCTCACGTGTGATCAGGGATCTTTCTCCAATATCAGACGACGGTGCATGACTTTATTGAAGTATTAGGCAAGTATTCAATCTTAAACATTCCAGGACACGCTCTTGCACAGTAGCATTCCTGAATTTAAATTCAGAACCATCTTTCTTGATACTTGCATATACCACCAATATAAAGGTCACTAATAGATAAGTTTTTGCTTTGATAAAGGGCTTTTGTCCTTCAAGAAAAAAGCTGTCCTTCACAGCTTTTTTTTTTTTAATTAATCCGGGGATGCTACCTAAATAAACGTTATAACTATCCATATATTAGCTTCATAATTCTCAGTTTTGTTAGGATTAATAAGCTAACATACGCAAGGTGGCCGAGCAGTAGTCACTGTCCTATGGCTAGTTTTATCTGTTGTTACTCTGTCATCCAGAGATACAAAACCACTAAAGCATTTTTCTTCCCTGAATCTAAAAGCAAGGGTGTCACCCAGAGATAAGCATTCTAGTAGTGTGTGGGCCAAGTCCTCAGACAGTAAAAGCACCTTAGTCATTCTCAAGAGGAATAGTAACAAGTAAGTACCTTTAATTTCATGTCTTTTTTTGATTTCAGGTTCTTATGGAAACTTGAGTTAAAGTATTTCTAATTCAACTTGAATATATTATCTATGTTGGAAAGATTAATAGTGATCGACAAAGATCCATTTAGTTAATTTGTAATTTTATATGCAGTTAGCACCTTTAGAAACCTAATTTTAGGGATGGGCCAAAAATTTTTTTTGTAGACAGTTACAGAAAAGAACAGCTAAATTTTTAGAAGGAAGTTTTTATATAGCCCCCAAACTGGGTAAGTTGTGTAATTTTCCACTTTTTGTCTTATTCAGTTAAGATTCTGTTATCTTAGATCTATTGTATATAACATGGTCACTACCGTTAATAATAATACATTGTATTCTTGAAATAATGCTAAGAGGATGTAAAGTGTTCTCACCACAATATAATAACTATATGAAGTTATAATGCATTTATTATTTAGCTAGGTTTAGTCATTCCACAATATGTATACTTCAAAATATCTTGTACACAGTAAATACATACAGTTTTATCTATCAATGTAAAAATAAATATTAAAAAAGATTCCACTATCTGAAATACCCTCAAAGGAAATGTGTAGGAGTACATGAGTAGTTCATCAAAGAAACAGTGGTTAAGGTGAACTCATGGACTCATAGTTGTCTGAATGGACCATGATATTCACAGTATTTGATTAGGAATAATATGGGTACTAATTATAGTCATCAGATATCATAAATACTACCATTTATGATGCATAGAGGAAACTGCTATTTGAAGGATGAGATAATACTTTCCTAAGTATAATGCAGGGCTGTAATCATAATTCTCTGAAAGCTTTATCATTCAGCCCCAGCCTGTTCATTTATCCGTCTCTTCAAAGTTCACTAGTTTTTCTTGGTTGGAAGTATACCTTGCAAAGACTGCTTAAAGAGACTGCTATACAGCATTCCATCATGCATACAAATTATCCATTTTATTTCTGATGGGTTTTTGAGTTGTTTCTTGTCTTTTATTGTTACAGTCATTCTTGTGTTTCCTGTTGTACTCTGGCATATACCTGAAGTGGGATTCTTGGGTCATGAATATGTTCAGCTTTGCGTAATGCCAAACTGTAGCAGCACTAATTTATGTCATCACTGGTAGTTGCTCCATGTTCTCCCTAGTATCTGGCATTACTTCTGGCTCATCTGGTGGATGGAAAATAATATCCCATTTGTGACTTTCTTTTGCATTTTCCTAATGAGGTTGACCATCTTTACATGCAGTTATTGGCCACTTAGATTTCCTCATCTGCAAAGCATTTGCTCACACCTTTTACCTATTTTCCTATGGTTATTTGACATTTTCTTACTAGTCTATAGGAGTTCTTCATATATTCCACATTTGATTGTATGTATTGCAAATGCCACATGATTTGCTTTCTTTTACTTCAGGCTGTTTGCTTTTCTTTCAGATCATTTGTCTCCTCTCATTTCTTATCATTTTTACTCCTTTGTTGTGTGTTTTGTCACAAAGACTGATAAAGGCTGCACACCCAACTCTGGAGGTAAATACTACTACCTAGCTATTTATGTACTTTGGGTACCTGCCAAAATCAAGTAAGCCCATATGACTGTTTAGAGATACAGTATTCCAGCTTCCTGACACCACAGATAATCCAGAAAAATCAGAGCCATGGTCCTCTTTGTCTTTTCTTTAAAACAACATTTTTTGCTTTTTTTTATCGTGAGATAATTTTTAAAAACAGCATTTGTATTATTTTTTCGGACCTTTTTTTCAGGTAACTAAGTTAATTATAGATTGTTTTTCAGTGCTGGGCATTGAACAGAGGGTCTTATACATGTTAAACGCATGCTCTCCCACTCCCACCCCCCAACCCCCCGCAGCCCAACTAGGTTGGTTAGAGAAAGGATTAACAAACTCCAGAGTACAGATTTGACATCCTTTAACTCTCCAAATTTAATTTGTGTAATGCTTTCCTTTATACGTTGAATGAAAGCTCTTGCCTCTCTTTATCAGTGCAACTGTGTAGCTGTCTCCCCCCTTCCCCCTTCCTCCTCTGCTCCTTTCCTCCTTTTCTCTCCTCTCTTCCCCTTTCCCTCTCCCTCTCTGTCCATTTCTCCCAACCCCCTACATCTCAGTTTCTGAGCCCAGTCTTATGATGAGATCCATCTTCCACTTGGCCCAGCGCCACCCCTTTCAAAATAGCAGCCTATAAATACCCTTTTTTCTACAGCTCACTCCTAACACTATGAGACTTTGTTTCTAAATAATTTCTGTTGTATATACTTGCTTTTAAAATGAGTCTTGCTGTTTTTCTCCTAACACTGTAAAGTTCCCAACCAGTCATACAGGATTAAAATTTAGAAAATCCACTAGGAAAATTCTCTACAAAAGGCCTGAAGCCACTTGACACTTACATGAAAAAGTTTTCATTTTGTTAAGAGGGAATTGGAGCCATAACTTGGAGCCATTTAAGCTAAGTCCAAGTGCCCCTTTTTAAAAAGTTGGATATGTGTTTATATGTAAATTATTAACCTAAGGCCTAAATGGAATTAAAATTGTTCCTGTTGATCAAGGAAAGGTACATTATGTAACTTCCTATGAAGTATGACAATATTACTGACTTTGAGAATGTGGATTGTAGAGACGCATCTCCCTAAAACTGGAGTATTTGGATTGACATGTGACTTATAATTTTGTTAAATATATTGTAGACAAGTTGTGTGTATGTGTGTAATATCATGAGCATTTCACAGCAAACTTCTTAGTGTATAACAGCAGCTGAGTCTTACAACTAGAGACTTTCTTTCCTTTTTCATATGTAATTCCTTATCTTGTGTAAAGCAGAATTGAATACCTCTCAAGTTGTCTAGGCCTTTCTGTGTTTTCCCACTCTAATCAAGTAAATCCATAAAATGATAAAATTGTTAAAATGGAAGTGAAAATGGAAATATTGAATAAAACCTAGTTTTGCCAACTTTTAGGATTGCCGTTACATTTTGTTTGAGTAAGCTTATGTCTAACACACCTATAGAGGTCTTATAAGATGACCAAAGATTACTGCTGAGCCGGAGAAATGGCTCAAGTGGTAGAGCACTAGCCTAGCAAGCATGAGGTTCTGAGTTCAAACCCCAGTACCAACCAATGAACGAAAAACCCAAAAACTTACTGTTAATGTGATACTTAATGGTGACAGACTGAATGCTTTTCCTCTAATATAAAGATCAAGGCAAGACTATCCAATCATTATTTCTATTCAACATTTTATTGGAGGATTAAAAAGCAGACATATGGAAAGGAAGAGTTAATCTGTGAATAAGAATTCACAGATTACATAATAGAAAAATTTAAAGAATCTACAAAGAAAAACTATTAGGTTTACTAAGTAAATTTAGCAAGTCCAGGAAACAAAGTCAATACGTGAAAATAGTTGTTTTTGCCAGTTGCTGGTGACTCATGCCTATAATCCTAGCTATTCAGGAGGCAGAGATCATGAGGATTGCAGTTCAAAGCCAGCCCCAGCAAATAGTTCATGAAACCCTAACTTGAAGAAACCCATCATAAAAAAGGGCTGGTGGAGTGGCTCAAAAAAGAAAACAGAAGGAAAATAATAGGTTTTAATATACAGTAGTGATGAACAATTATAAAGTTATAAATACCCATTTACAGAGCTGAGGATGTAGCTCAGTAGGAAAGCACACATTTAGCATGGGTGAAGCTCTGAGTTCAATCCCCAGAACCAAAAAGTGAGAATAAATAAAAACATTTACAATAGTATCCAAGCCAAAATATATTTAGGAATGTTATGGTTTGTATATGAAATGCTCTTTCCCCTACCCAAAGACTCATGTACTGAAGGCTTAGTCTCCAGTGCAGCAGTGTTCAGAGGTGGGGCCTTGAGACATGACTGGACCATTACAGCTCTAACTTAATCAGTGGATTAATCCATTGATGGGTTCGTAGCTCAATGGGATATTAAGAGGTGAGGCAGAGGTGGAGGAAGTAGGTCACAGGGAGTGTGACTTTAGATGGTGTATTTTATCTCTGGTCTTTCCCTCTCTCTCTCCCTCTCCGCCTCTACATCTCTCTCCCCTTCCTCCCCTACCTCCATCCTTCCTGGCTGCCATGAGGTGAGCAGTTCTGCTCTACTACCTGCCATGACGTTGGGCCTTATCTCAGGCCCACAGCAATGGAACTAAGTGACCATGGACTGAAACCTCTGAAACTATGAATCAAAAATAAATCTTTCCTCCTTTAAAAAAAAAAAAAGATGACCAAAGAGTTATTTGGGGGTTGAAAATAAGCACATGCTATTTAAGGCCAGTGGTGTGCCTTTCAATTTTGGAGAATGGCTGGTAAATGTTATAGAATGAGTCATTTTTACTGGATCAGACCTCTGAACAATACTAAGAAATTTCTTACCTTTGATTTTTTTTCACCTCACCTTTTAATTTCTATATTTGGCCATAAGGATATTAAAAAGTAAAAGGAGATACAAACTTTAGAAATATAGGGAGAAGAGTTGGAATGGTTATGTTTTGGATGTAAGCCCTTATTTGGATACTAACCAGAATTTGATTTCTAGAAGAGTGGAGATATAGGGAGTAAGTGGATTTATAAAGAGAAAAGGGTACAGGGTTGATACAGCTCTCTTTTCTTTTTTTTTTTTTTTTTGTTATTGTTGTACACTGGGACTTTCACATAAATTCTTACAATATATCATAGTTAAATTTACCTCCTCCATCATTCTCCTTTCTCCCCCATTCCTGGAATAGTTTCAACAGGTCTTATTTTTCCATACATGCATACATAGTATTTCCACCATATTCACCTCCTACACCCTTTCCTTATATCCCCCCCTCCCACTGGTCCTATCCCCCAAACAGGACCTGTTTTGCCTTCTTGTTCTCTGATTTTTTTTTTAGTGACATTTTTGTTTAAGTTAGTTACATAAGGTATATAATGTAAATTTTTTCCTTCTTTTGTTATTGTTGTGCTGGGTGGCGGTACACTGTGGCATTTACAAAATTCTTACAACATATCAAATATATTATACTTGGGTTCACCCCCTCCATTTACATGCATGGATTCAGCTCTTTTTAAAACATCCAGTTTTGGAACTAAAAACTTCATAGAGTCCTAGGAAGCCCAGATTTTCTTCATTTGCTATTTATTGTATTAAACTAGATTTTACCTCATTGGTTGCCTTTAGTTTTTTTTCTGGGTTATCACTTACTGGAAATTCTATTGTTATGTTATTTATGTATTTGTTTGCTTATTATCAGTCCTACCATCTAGAACATAATCTTGGGAAGAACAGAAATCTTTCATGTCTTATTTTCTGAAGTTTCAATCCCATAGTGGGTGTTCAGAAAATATTTATCAAATGAATCATCTCTAATAAGGAGGGAAAATGCTGCAGGACAATCTATAAAGATCCATCATTGAAAATTTTTATTTTATAATTCTTCTGTGCTAAAGATTATTATTACCAGCCACTCCTTCAGTTTGGTTTTTCCAAACATATATTCCTTCTTAGATAGATTAGGAGAAATTTGTCCATCATTGCCCCAAAGATAAAGTAGGTTGTGATTAGATACTACCATGAAACTTTAATTTCTGACACCTTCATAAACCTTTAATCTCTGTCATATAGTAAAGTAATTGAAGTAGCTCTGCTCCAAGATGATGGGGTACCTGCAGGATCTCATGCCTTAATGAGATAGACCCTCTTTCATCGCCCACATTGTGGAGTGAGATTTATGCCAGTTGCATAAAGTGCTGGAAACCCTGACACTGATGTTTATTTCTCACATGGAATTAACAGATTGTGACTACATTCTTAAAGTATACAGAAGTCTTTGAATTATTTTCAACTGAATAGGCTATCTGTGCTGAGAAAAAAATATCATACCTGCACATTCTCTTCTATATGTTGAGGAGAAAGTTTTCTCATCAAATGCCCACAATAATGCAGAAGAAGTAATAACATTTTCTATCTATGGTAAGAAAATGAGAGGAGTCCATTCATACCTCTCCCCTCCTGCTAGAAGAGTTAATGTGGTTGTACCTATATGAGTTGGCTATGCAGTGGAGGGGGTAAATTCGGGTATGGTATATTTGATACATTGTAAGAACCTTTGTAAATTCTACAATGTACCCCCAGCCAGCACAACAACAATAATAATAATAATAATAAAGGAGTTGGCTCTGTGTTCTAGGTTAGTGCAGAGAATGACCACATGTTGTTTAGTATTGAATTTGATAGATAATAAAGGGGTTAGTGAAGCTTTAAACTGTATACCTTAGGAGTTTTGAAACTTCCATCTTAAGCATTGGAATTAATCAAATCTAACTCTTGCCTTAAGAGTAGGGAGTCCTTCCTAATTTTGGCAGACTAACACTAAGAATCTCTAACTCAAAAGTAGTGACTAATTATAATATAGTATTTGTAAATGTTTTTAGTAGCTATAAAAATGCATCCATCAGTCAAGAAACCCAGACTGTTCTTATATCTCTGTAAGTTAAGTTGTAGTCAAACTAGTGAAGACCATTTGCAATTTTCTTTTCTTTTTAAAAACTAGCATGGATCCTGAAGGCTCTGTACAGGATCCTGAAGAGAAGTATTCTTCTGTCTGTGTTGGCAGAGAAGATGACATTAAGAAATCAGCAAGAATGACAGCTGTGGTCCATGATAGAGAAGTGGTCATCTTCTACCACAAAGGAGAGTATCATGCCATGGATATTCGCTGCTACCGTAAGAGCTTTTCATTTATAGAGCCCGTTTTTAATCACAAAACAATCAAAGTGCAGGGTTTTTAGTGACTAGATGTAATATTCAATTCTTTTTCAGATTCAGGAGGACCTTTACATTTGGGAGAAATCGAGGTATGTAAAATTATATGTATTCTCAACAAATGCAGATGTTACCTCTTTATAGTCTTACTTTATTTCGTTCTTTATTCAAAAATAATTTGTATTTGGGGATGGTTATATTTTAATGCTTTGAAGACAGTAGTCAGTGTTCTAGACATTCACAACCCTACAATGTAAAGAAAACCATCTCACAGATGAATATGAGGATTATGTGTGTATAACCTAGCAATTATACTGTGAGATATAACTGCACAAGTGTTTGTCTATATATAGGAAAGACTTATTGCAGTATTATTTATTATAGTGAAAAGTCAAAGGCAACCTAAATGCTTTAACAATAGGAAGTTGGCTAAATAAATTATAATACTGTGGGATATGAGGCAGCCACTAGTTGAGGCAGACCTATCTGTATTGTTGTGGAAAGATGTTAACAATGTGTTTGTGAGTGTTAAAAGCAAATCATAGAATAGTAGTTCTAATGAGATCTAATTTTTTAATGTAAAATAATGTTCAGTTTTTACTTTTTACATGATGTAAGTTGAATTTTGGGGAGTATATATCTTACAATGTAAAATTTTTTTAAATTTTTTTAATTTTTTCTAAAAGAAAGAAACCACACTTTGAAGTCTTAACTGAAGAAGAATGGGGGGAGTTGCCTTTGCGTCTTTGCATTCCAAAACTATTTGCCTAATTTCTTCTTTCTGTCTCTGTGTTTCTAACTGGTGCAAAGTGCAAGCCTGAACCTAGTGTTCCACTCTTTCTACACTTGATATATACCTGGTTACATACTTGTCCTCATGTTAAAGGACATATATATGCTTAAGTTATGCAAATGTGAATGTTTACTGACAGTTCAGTAGGGGCACAAATCAACATTCCTGCATTTCTGGTGAGAAAAAAATGTTAGCACCCACTAACATTATCATTAGCACCCGCTGATGGTAATGTCACTGAATTTCCCCCAGTTTCATCCCATGCTGAGTGCCTTAATACCTTGCTACTCAAATTGTGGTCCACAGCCTGGGAGCTCCTTAGACATGCAGAATCTTGTGCTCCTACCACTCCAGCTTACTGAGCTTAAACAACAGAGCTGCATTTAAATAAGATCCAGGTGATTCCTGTGCTCCTTAAGGTTTGAGAAACACTTAATTAAGACAGTTTAAAAGTCAGAATGAAGCTGGGCACTCAGGAGGTAGAGATCAGGAGGATAGCAGTTCAAAGCTAGCCTTGGCAAATAGTTCAGACCCTATCTCGAAAATACCAACACAAAACAGGGCTGATGGAGTGGCTCAAGCAGTAGAGCACCTGACTAGCAAGTGTGAGGCCCTGAGTTCAAACCCCAGTACAACCAAAAAAACATTGGAATCACAAATTGCTCTCAATTAACATCTGCACTCATGTCTTTAGTAATTCTTCTGAAATTCATATCTGGAGTTTACAGTTCTTCTAAAAGCACTGAAAGCTTTGCCCCAATTCTGTCAAGGAAGTGACATGAACATAGATAACAGATAGCTGCAGTAGCATGGTATATTTGCCTAAGCAAATCATCTCAAGAGCTCCAGCTCACTAGGTTTTAGTCAACTGCAAAAGGACTTGGTAACTGTTCTCAAGTTAGGTTCCGCTGTAGGAATAATATATAAATGGAAGGGGGAAAAAAAGAAAAACTAGCTGTCTTTTTTTTCTCTCTCTCTCTCTCTCTCTCTGTTTTGTTTTTTTGTTTTGGAGACAGGGTGTCCCTTGGCCTCAAACTCAGTCCTTCAGCCTCAGCCCCCTAAGCACTGGGATTGCAGGTGTGAAGCACATGCCCAGCCTGTTCTTGAACCTGGTTCTTCTGTATTAGATTCTGTACCAAGTCTGGTGTTTATCATGAATGTTAGAAATGTCAAGACTATTAAATCAGTTGTTCTCCTCCCCTCCCCCAGGATTTCGATGGACGATCATGTATAGTTTGTCCCTGGCATAAATACAAAATTACTTTGACAACAGGAGAAGGATTATACCAGTCTATAAACCCTAAAGATCCATCAGCAAAACCCAAGTGGTGCTCCAAAGGAGTAAAGCAAAGGATCCACACCGTGACCGTGAATAATGGGAATATTTACGTGACTCTTTCTAAGGAACCTTTTAGGTGTGACTCTGATTTTTATGCCACTGGAAACTTCAAAGTAATTCAGAGTTCTTCCTGATAAAAATATATGGCAAAGAAAAATGTGTATGCTTGAAAATATTTTTAGAATAACTTTGCTTCGATGCCAAAGGTGAATTTTTTCCAATAAGTATTACTTATCGTTAAAAACCATAGATCTGAGAGGTTTAAAAGAACTTGTACTTAGTACAATTTAAGGATTACCATCAGGATCAACAGAATGCTTTTTTTATCTAATCTTCTGGATTGGAACTTGCACTTTATAAATTTGAGATTTTCTGTTTAAGAAGAATGAAATACTATTCAGGAGGCAGAGATCAGGAGGATTGGTGTTTAAGGCTAGCCTAAACAAAATGTTAGTGAGATCCCATCTCAACAAACAAGCTGGGCATGGTGGGATTTGGGATTACATGCCTATAATCCCAAATCTGTGGGAGGCATAGATAGTAGGATCATGGTCCAAGGCCAGCAAGAAACCCTATCTGAAAAATAATGAGGCAAAAATCAAGAGACCCTATCTGAAAAATAACCTAAAGCAAAAAGGGCTGGAGATGTGGCTCAGCTGGTAGAGTAATACAAAGCTCCGAGGTCAAGCCCCAGTGCTGCCAAAACCAAACAAGTAAAAAAGGATGAAAATAATTTATAGAAAGCAAAATAAATAACAGGTAAAAAGTAAGATTTGGTAGGAAAAAATTCAAATGTGACAAATGTCCCTATTTGATGTAGCTGACTTTTTTCTGGGAAAGTTTTAATATGTACAAAGTAACAATGAACTTCCATCTCTCAACTGCAACAGTTTCCAGCTGTCTTCCATTCTTGTTTCACTAATACATTCAAGGATTCTCTACCTCCAATATTTGATTATTATTTCTACATTTTAAAGGTAAATTATAAATACATCAGAATCTGAAATCTTAAAGCTTTTCTAAATATGTAACAGACTTTTTACACTTAAAAATGGCTCAAAAAATGAGATTAGCATGCTGAACTTAAAAATGAGAAATTTACCAATGTGCTAGATGATGTCAAAGCCAAATAAACCTTGGCTCATTGTCTCTCATCAGGGCAGATTCTTGAGGAAAACCACACACAGCTGCTACCCCTCCATTAAAGTCTTTACAGTGAAGCATAGTACTTTGCCTAATGAAATTTTCAAATAAGGTTTTTCAAAATAAGTATTAGAAAATTTTGTGTGTGTGTAACTGTTTCCCATAAACGGTATAGAGGGAAGAAATCTGGTAGGGTTGTTCGTTGCCAGTGCTGCTCTGGCTGCGTGGTGCCTACACCATACTAGTTGTTAGGTATTTAGAATAATATCTGGGGTTCCCGTCATGCAAAACTTAAAAGCTCACTGTAGAATGTAAGAGATACGGGACCAAAAAAGGATGAATGGCTTATGAATTCAGAGTGAGAACTGTTAAGAATGGAACCAAGTCAAAAGCACAATAATCTTCATGATCTATGTCTGAATTAAGAGTCTAAGGGACCCACCTGGACTCTTTCCCTTGGTTGTAAAAATAGCAAGTGAAAAGGTGTATAACAAAGACTATTTACAAAACTCATGGCTGTGTACTATTACATTGCCTTTTCTTTTGGAATATGGGTAGTATATGGGTATAATACATTTTTTTAAACTATTTCTCAGACTACTAACAAACCAGGCTTGGACTTTTTAATCAATATTGTTTATAGCAGCAACTACTCACCAGGTACAGAAAATATGCCATCTCTGAAGTAAGTTCATCCAGCCTATTGCATCAGGTGCTAATTCTTGAATGACTTTGAAGATTTCATCACATGACCAGAGTTTAAAGTGCATAAAAGAAACCAAAGTGCCTCTTGTAGGCAAAAACTGTGACCCTGGTTTGCAGGGCCAATTATAGAAGTATTTTCAGTCTGGGTCAATGGCAATAATGAGTAAAAGTGGACATTTTTTCTCATTGTAAATTTGATTCTTTAAATCTGGAAATAAAAAGGTCACATTTCTAGGTATGGTGGTGTGCACTGTAGTCTCAACTACTTAGGAGGCTCAGGCAAGACAATCCATGGTCTAGGAGTTCAGGGCCAGCTTGGGCAACATGGCAA